TCAAGTTAGACAATTCGAAGCGCAGATGAGTGATCACGGAGTCTCGATCCAGTAAAACGCGTCGTAGCCTTACACGTTTCGAAGTTTTGATCAGAGACGTTTTGCCTGCTCCCGACAGGACTCCACTTAAAGTCCCCATGCGCTCAACATTGTAAGTAACCTTTTCTTGGTATTCGGCATAAGATTTTATGTACTGCGAATTGTTTAGCACTTGGTCCAGCAAATCCGAAAGCGCATCGCAATCAGCCATCAAGCTATAGCCGGCCTCATCCATCTGCTTGCGAATCCCGGCGATCTCGTGGTAAATTTTTTTGTGCGCGACATAACGTTCTGGATAGAATTCAGAAGTTGTTTTTTCGGGTGCACGATATCGGAGGCCTTATCTCGGAGCTTGGCTTGGAAGTTGCCCAACTCTTCGAGAAACGTCTTCCATTCTTGCTACTCATCTTTAAGTCGCGCGCGCAGGTTATAATACTTGACTTGGACAACATAAACGAATGCAGATGCGGAGGTGCAGAGCTCGATAAATGCTCTTCCTGGTGGCAGTTGCGAGGCATCTACCGAAATAACGCGTCCTCCATATCCCCATATGGTCCATTATATCTTGTTGCTGATCCAGCCGAAAGAAGAGGGAGTCGATCACTTTTCACCTATTCACAGTCGATCGTAGATAATGACCCCACGCAGACGCTGAGAAGCGGGACAGGATTTCGCAAATTGGAGCGTAGGATGTCGTTGTCAGTCAAGGAAACGCCTGGATCAGGATTTGGAGACAAACCCGCGATGGGGACCGGACTTGGATTCTCGTCGAGCGTATCGTGCCATGTTAATATGGCCGATAATACCGAGGGATAACACTCTCCCAACACCAACTTCGGAGTCCCGAACATACATAGCTGGATTTATACGAAGGGACAACCACAACCGCAGGTGTTTCCGGCTGATACACAGGGACTTTCGATCTAAGGTTGGATCGATGGGTGAGATCCGATGTGGCACAATCTGTCATGATAGAATACTAGGTTTGACTGAAATGAGGTCAATACCGTCACGATGCAAACGCTGCCCAGCGAGATCGACACCGTTTGTCTAATAGCGGTGAACGAGACGATTGTGATAAAGCAATCACGAGATTTTACCGTTGAGTTGGGACGTGTGATTCCTAGATTGCAGGCTTCATAAAGTTCAAAGAGGATTCTGATTGGAAAGATACTAGCTAGGATTAATGGTTCCCACGATCTTGATCCAATCTCGCGATCATGATCAGATCTCTTGATCCTGATCTCTCGATCTCAATCCATGATCTCTCCATCTTGATCTCAATCCTGATCTCTCCATCTTGATCTGATCTCTCGATCTCGATTGGAGATCGCAAGCCCGGAGTAAGTTCTATACAAGTCGGGTGTGGGTCGCTCTAAATTTTCAATATTAGAGCTCTTGGCGTAAACCAAACAGGTAGATAAGGGCGGTCTCCTGGAGAGGGAGACGCATGGCTTCGAAAGTCGTGAAACAGATAGGCCTAGCGATGTGTGTTAGTTTTTGGGTTTCATTTGGTTAGCACTAACCAGAGTTGAATTTTCTTTTAAGTACACATGTCGACCTCTCTTCCGGCTTCGATCATTGACCACCCAACGTCAAAGAAAGTTACATACTTTAATCTAGTTATATCCCTCGATTATTTGGCTAGAGATCGAAGACTCTTAACATGAACCCCAACTGCGATCGGTCGCAGCAGAAAAGTAAAGGCAAAGAGTTCAAGATCGCAAGACGGCTCAAGTGGTCAAAAGGTTCGCGAATCAAGCATCTACATTGGACAAGGCGATCTCGTAGAGATCAAGTTGACAGATATCGAGCAGTTACAAGTACACGCGCTATCGTGTGAAGGTTTCCACGCGACAACACCAATCTCAACCACGGTCAAGCTTGGCACCGACTCGAGTCCACCTAGAAGCGTGCAACTAGCCCCATCGACGGGTACACAAGGTGAGCGAAGCATAGAGCACGGAATCGGAGTACCGCCCCTGTTGCTCGGTCTTCCGGGCGCCAGTAAGGAGTTGGGATAGACTCCTCAAAAGAGAGATTGACATTCCAACACAATCTTTAATTGTTAAATACTACCAGTTCGGACCGAACAATTCCTATTCAAATACAGTCATGAGCTCCGCATGTTTTACGAAATTGAGACGCTGTCACTCTTTAATGGAACTGAGCCCTGCAAATAGTCGCTGCACTATTGGAAGCGCTGAGCGTTACACGAGGTGATCGAAGCCCTCCAAGCAAAGTACAAAGCGAGTACTGCTACGTGTTGCCGATATGTAGGTGGAGCGCTATATTGATCTAGACAAACTGGACCTGGCAGCCACGCGTAGTAGGCGGGCGGGCAGTGTACATGACGTCACTAGAGACACCACCATCAGCTGTACAAAGATTGAGCAGCTGATTTGCCAGTTACAAGTGGTCATACGTTTCGATGTCGATGGAACGTCAGGTGGCTTCCATTAGGCCTTTGAACAATCAAGCGTCGCTCTGTAAAGTCGAGCAATTACACCACATATTCATAATATGTAAAAAAAAACTTACTGGGCGGTTTCATGCATTCCGTCCGCCATCTTCAGCGAAGGTGTGCTGGCAATAAATTTTTTATGACAGACGCATGAGTCAGTGTAAGTTTAAAACTATAGCGCTGATGTGGTTTGGAGATGATGCTATAAAAAAGGAAACTTATATCTGTAATTCAGTTTTGGCTATACCCACCACCCTATATGATGCTATCGGCCGTTTCGCTATATTTAACTGCTTTCCACCTGCAGTCGGTCAAACGCGTTCCGCTTTCATGTTGTTCTTGTCGATCACAAGGTCTGACTTTCGATTTCGATATGAGCCGCCAAGGTCACAACCTAGTTCCACACGCGGATAGGTGCGAGTGTTGTTATAATCGTTTGATTGAAGATACAGAACCTGACTCCAGTCTTACTTCTTGACATGATCTATAACAGCGTCTCGATTCGCAATGACGGTTTGTTTGTTGAGTTTGGCCATGATATGGTGGTGTAGTGCTGTTTTAATCACACAAAACCAAAGGTGTGGTAAAACTTGTATAATGTGGTGTGGCGGAACTTGTTAAAAATGAATTAGAATTTTTATAAGTGTGGTGGAATTAGCAATTTCAAAAAATATATTCGAAAGTTGGTGAAATGAGTAGGAGCTGGATCCGTTGCAATGCCAAGGCGATTAGATGTCCGCTTCGGGATTCTTGTAGGCTACCATAGCCTCGACCTTGTGCACCTGCATCGTATGGGGGACGTGGCTTAGTGACTAAAAGCATGCTGAACAATCTTGACTGCATTCGCACCTTTGTGGAAAACGACCGCAAGCGCACTTCCGCCGAGTCTTTGATTTGTTAAATGAATATTCAACGTAATATTCTTTATTATCATTATTTCTCAAATGACAATTTCCATGTAACGGGCTGCCCCGTTACACTCGTGCTACCTCAGCCGTACAGTCCAAGCTCCGATGACACTGACTCCATATCAATGTTCGGCCAAAGTCGGGCGTGTACCGCTCCGCGTCTAGAAGCTCATGTAATTGCCGTTATGTGCACTATGCCCCGCCAGAAATCAACAGAGTACGACGGTAAGGAGTGCCGAATCATGGAATAAGCGCCATACCATTGGGAGCGAGCGCTTTGACCTCGCTTGGCGAAATGTCAATACGTTAATGGTGAGTAACATACATCGTTATGAGCAACGCGGCGATGCTATTCACTTCACATCTTGGGCACGATGTCAGCAAAACAAGATACTGCGGAGAACGTGCGACGGTCCAGTGCGAAAGATACTGGTGCTTCGCAAGTCCCAGCACGTTGGGTCTTGCCAACAGGACCATCAACATCCTATGTTGCTGATTCTTGACCTCGTTTTGCCCTTAACCTGTCTTCCGATCCAGGTCGACAAGCATAGACGCACAAGAGAAAGCCGAGTCAAGCGCTGTTTTCTTCTCCAAAAATCAGTCTCGAGCAAATCGTGCAAGACTGGGCAAACGATTGTGTGAATATTTTTGCTTCGTCGCCAGTCAATGTAAACTAATGCCCGCGTAGCCTCGGACCCAACTGCTTGCGACCGACCGAGTCTGCCAGTCGCGCCCATCGTGTGGCTTGTGGTGGTAACACGCGCTGCTCGGTATCAAGCAGGAGTACATCTTGCTTGCACGGTCCACTCTTTTGTCGAGCGTGCGGTTCTGACACAGACGGTGGGCAGACTTGACACCTCAGGGGGAACATACCTGCTGATGTTCCTTTGTTTCAGAAAAACGACAGCGCGGGATCATACTGATGGAGCTACCGGATTCTTTTCATGCTTCAGCTAGCGACAGCAGCGACAGCAGCAGCCGCGTACCACCTTCCTCAGCTTGAGCATCATCGTCTTGACATCTGGTACTTCAGCCTGCTGGCGAAACTTCAAGTGGTCATGGTTCCAGAACCCGGCCACTCGTGGTTTCGTGGCCTATTCTTACCACCTTCAATAGACCCGCCCCGCCTCTTTGAACAAGGCCAGAACCATCGCCTTGAATTGGAGCGTCTGGTGTTCTCAATGGGAAGTAATGGTCGGTAGAGTGCCAGCATCAAGTGGGGAAGCTGAGCTGCGTTTGGGCCGAGACGCTTGTTCGCTCCTTTCGCCAAGCAGACCCGACGTAGTATCGCCGCCCATCCCATCAGCCGTTCCCGCTGGTGAAGACTGTAAGCGGGCGCATGAGAAAAAGTCGGGCAAGAAGCGCCACTAGTTTTCGAAGACGCCTGCCAAACAATGCCCTCGCCATAATAAGCTCGAGAGAAGATAGCGAGACGTCTTTGCACCGACTGCTCTGGACACTCCTTCCGGGGCGACTCAGTATCCGTTTTGCAGCCTTCCGATCGCTCATTCACAGTCACAGTCAATCAAGATCCACTACTTCTACCACAACCGCCACTACATCTACGTCTACTGCTGCTGCTTGGACCAATGTCTCGGTCGAGTCGGGCGCTCGTCCTGCTGGTGTTGGCCCTCAACCTCTATGGCTCTTTGGCTTTCCACTGGCCATTCACACACACTGACGACGAAGCTGCAAGTGCGGCGTCTGGAACACCCGAAAGCTCCAACTCTGCGGTCGTCCACTCGTCGCCTGCAGTGACCGAAGACAAATCCCTAGACACGATAGTCGCGTCTGCTGGCAAGCTCAAGCTCGACGCCAGTGGCAGGGGCTCTTTTATTGATACCACGTCAATCAAAGAGAGTGTCCCGTTGGTCAAGGCGACCACTGCCCGTAGTGACGTCGTCCCTACGTACCGCAATTGGGTCGGCCCGCGTCCCATCTCCCCCGACGCTGCGTGCTACCGTGAAGCCCATATCATGGACACGTGCCCTACAAACTTCGATCGCAACGAAGCGACCAACACCTGCTGGGCTGAGTGTCCACTCCCTTATCCCGTTGAGTGTGGCATGGAATGCATTCGTCAGGGAGATGACTGTACGATGGAAGTGCTCAATAAAGCCGGAGCAGTGGTAGGCTCAGCGCTGGCCATCGCTTCCGTCGGAACTTTCACGAAATTGTGGACCTTCCCGAAACTAGTGGTTCGGTCTTTCGACTGCATCAATATGATGATCGGGTCAATGCGAGCGGTCATTCGTTACGTGCGCAATATCAAGACAACGGACCCCACGGCGTCGACGGACAAGATCCTCAACATCTTGTACCAATCGAACAACGTTGTCACCGATATACCGATGGCTATCACCTTTTGCATGGGCTTGCCGTTTTCCAGACCGTTGGATATTGCTGGTCGCGTGCTCACGTCCATGAACTGGATCCTGTTGAACGCCATTGCTTACAAGGACGACATTATCTCGAGCTGGAGCAAATTCAGGGCCTTCTTGATTGGTGCCAACTTCAGCGAAGCAGTCAATAGTATCAATCACACGGAGATTGGCACGCTCAGTGACGCGCTCAAGTCTAGGTCGACCTGCGGCTATGATCTGCGTGCGCTGACGGACCGTACTTGGAATACTGTAAACCAGCTTCGAGCAGACCACCCAGGCATTTCAGAGGACAATCTGCGCTTGATGATGCAGAACACACCGCTCGTGACTTCGGACATTGCTATCACCACGAACAATTGTATGGATCAGCTGATTGCCGAGTCGGATGAAGCCATAGCGTACCGAACGCGGGAGAAGATTCGCTTGGCTTTCAGTGTCATGATCAACCAGCTCGTGTCAACAGGCAAGAGTAATAATGGCACGAGCGAGGACACGCGGGAGTTCATGTACCTCATGATGAGCAAGACGTTCATTTCAGTTGCTGTCACGGGCACTGATCTCATTGGTATCATGGGTCTGTTCGTCACGTACATGCAGACGATCTGTGGTCCAACGAAATTCATTGGCGAGATTGACGATGGCACGGACCCCAAGACGCTGGGTTTCACGATGCTCGAAAAAGCGTTCAAGGAAAGTACCATGTCCTGGACGCGCAAGGGAGATGGCGCCGTCATTGTCAACTTCAAGAGCGCCGACACGAAGAACGTCACGGTGAACATCCGGTCGGGAGGTGACAAGATCGATGAAGTCGACGTCGCTGCCGGGGGGAGTGCCCGATGGATGTCCAACGTTACCGCTCTAGCTGGCAGGACACTGTACTTTGATCGCTGGCGACCTGGATTCCTGGGTCTGCCTAGTACAGGTGGTGGCTCCTTGCTTTTATGGATACCCCACGCCTCCGAAGGCGGTCATCTGGAGGTGCAAGCGATGCTCAATGCGAGCTAGACGTAGCACACGAAGTAACCGAGTGAGTAGTGCGTGGGCCTGTCACACGTGACAGAGACTAAAAGTACAAAGAGGCTGTAAACAAATTGCCACAGCATGGGCGCTAGTTCTCGGAACAATTGACCTTCTCAGTGGCGCGATTGATAGGACCGAATCCTCAGAAGAGTCAAACTTGGCGCACATTGCGTCAATTATAGCTGATTTGAAATGGAGCTGAAAGCTAGGGAAGCTCTCGTAGTGCGTCGGAGTTCAAGCCGAATATCGTCCACTGATCAGAGCTGTCATGAGTGGTGGATTACAGTGGCGAAGACACTTGTCTGATGCATCATGCATTGGCGAGATCACGAAATTTAGGTATATAAGTGAGCCAAGGAAGACTAAAAGTGGTTCCAGATGGTAGTTAACGCACTGAAATGGTCCTTGCGACTGTGCATTAAGCATCCGCCTGCTTTTGGATCTTTACGAAATTGTGTGTTAGTGATACAAATATACCGAGGAGCATTCTGGCACACATCGCTACAAAGAACAACTTCAGGTAAGTTTACGGAGTCACCGTCCCAGCGATCCAACTTAATGCGCTAGTACATCAGCCCTATCCACTTGTGAGTGAGTTAGACGGGCCTATACATCTCTTACTGATTGCGGGATGTCTTGTATATCCTGAGCCTAATTACTACATTCAGTGAACGAACTAGTCTGGTTGTCGTACGGTGAGTGGGATAAGCAAGCCCCTACTGTGCATATCATTGTCACTAAGTTGGATCAATGTAAATGCAATCGTAATTGGTCACTCTCTCCAACATTACTTTGCTAAGTAAAACGTGAGTATATTTAACCCTCAAAGCCCATATTCGACGCCACTTTACTCATACCTAGATATAGGTCATGGTATCAACAAAGTGAGCAACCAATCCCCGCTAGAAGTGCGCAATGGATGGTGCGCGAGTAGCTTCATTCGTATTTAGTAGCTTAAAATAGTTTAAGTCCGATCAAAGGGGTGCAATAAGAATGACGAACAATATTGAATACAGTTCTTCTTTTCCCTCTTCAAAAATGTTCATCAAAGAGACAGACTGTGCATGGCGCAGTGTAGAGGGAGAAGCTAAATACACCGGGCATAATTGCTAGATACACCGGCGCCTATCCATTAGACTTAATGTTTACATGACAACCGTGGTCACGTAGCCAGGCCGCGTCAATTCGAATATGACAGGATAAGCAGGGTAGAAATACATATGTAACATGGACATATGTAACATGGTTAGGCCACGAAGATGTAAAAAGAAATCCTCCGTTGTCCAATGCATGATGATGAGCACTTCATCCGCCTTCACTACTGCTGCTGCCACTGCTGCAGTCGTTGATGTTAGTACTAATTCTGTCGTCGCTGACAATCATGTTACGCCTCAATTTGATGCTGGCCCTGATCCTGCCGCCGCTAATTTCTAATGGATCTGTAAAGAACCCCACCGGTAGGGCCTTTTGACAGTCAAAAGACGGCTGTAGAGACTTTGAAGCAGTACGCCGTACGCCAAGGCTTTGCCATAAGCGTATCCCGCAGCCGCTCGATAGGTCCCAAGCGCAGTTTCTTATTTACATGTTCGCAGGGAAAACATTATACGAATTTCACAGTCGGCACACATCAATGCGAGATCGCGGGACAAAAAAGGTTGGCTGTTCATACGAGCTTTTGGTCATGTATGACCACCACGCTCCAGAAAAAAGTGCCTGGTCAACGCTTTGTGTACACAACTGCCACACCGTTCACTTCCGTTCTATCATCAAGACCATGCTCTCAGCGCTACCGGCGGCGAGACGTGCGTCGCTAAATAATGACGATATTAATTCTGAGGTCGTCCGGATGCATCAAAATGGATCTTCTTCACGTGTATGTGCGCGTGTTGAATACATATATAGCAGGTCAATGTTTTTCTGTCTGTATGTGATGTACATAAAATATTACCAGTTTAAGAAGGCGGGTATCCTTATAAATGCAAAGGATGTCCGCAATATTCTATAGAAGGCAAACAGAAACAAAATTTTGGAATCTCACACACGGAAGCTGTGGTGCAGCGCATATAGGACCATAGGTAATCTGGCTACGATAACGATGCATTTTTTTTTAGCTTATCTTGTCATATTCGAATTGACGTGGCCTGGCTGCGTGACCACTGTTGTCATATAAACATTGTGTCTGATGGATATACGCCGGTGTATTTAGCAATAATGCCCGGTGTATTTAGCCTCTCCCCAGTGTACGTGAAAAAGTTAGCCATTGATTTATATTAAAGCACTAACCTATATTTTCGAAATTTAAAACGCCTCATTTGTGTCAATACAGTACGCGGAGGGTGAAATGGAGTGAGCCCGTTACACGTCTTTGATAATAAATACTCAATGCAAATATTAGATTTTAATAATATTTATCTATAATAGCCAATATTCAACAAATTGTCAGCTGGGCCCAACTATAAATTTTGACGATAACATTTTTTGTATCACCTTCTATTAGTACCCTCTGAATTGATTTTTCCATTGACAATTTAGAATTGAGAAAATAAAAAAATGCCCCATGTCCTAGTATAACTAAATTAGTGTGGTACACATAAAACCACACGTCCCTAGTCGTTTTCGATTACCATTTTACGGCCGTGACCAACCCCCGCCCGGTTAGGGAAGCCGCGGAGAGGGTTATACCGCGCGCGTGCTGCGCTTGCAGCCACCAGTTACAGAACCCTCTCCGCGCCCCGGCCCCAAACAGGGCGGGGTTGGTCACGGCCAGCCCCAGTCGGTCTGCGCTAATGTTGTTGAAACTGATGTTATCGCTTTTGGTATTGTTTTTGTAGTAGCTATTGTTGATATTGTTGCTGCTACTGGTGGTGCTACTGCTGTTGTTGCTGCTGCGGTTGTTATTGTAGATTCTATTGATGATGTTGTTGCTGCTACTGGTGATGCTCCTGCTTTTGTTGCTGTTGTGGTTGTTGTTGTGGGTGCTATTGTTAATGTTGTATGAAGTGTGGCTGCATCACGATACTCGACATGAGAGGCACTTCTAAAGAGTTATATGGTGGGCGCAGGATACAGATGAAGTGAGCTTGGATATTGTGCTGCTTCGCTACAAGGTTCGTACATCAAATTTAGAGCCAGCATATTCTGCCTCGCGTAATCTTTTTAATAGCGTGGCGCCTTATAGCGTATATCCTTATCAGGTCTATAACAAATGCAGAACGCCTGCGTGGGCGTGGGCAAACGTGACGTAAGTGGTGAATGAGCACTGTGTAGCGTCAGAATAATTGTCTGGAACGAATCCGGTACACTGCTAAAACCAATCTGCGAATTTGTTTGCCGCTGACGTCGCAGTCAATTCTTGAATACATCCTGATAATTGGCATGTTGAAATATGGCCTGGCAACTCAACTTGTTGTGACTATTGTAACGGGGCAGCCCGTTACATGATATTGTCACTTAAGGAAAGTGACAATAAAGAATATAAGATGGATATTCTTTAAACAATATCACCAAAGTGGTGATATTGAAGGGTCGACCAAAGGGTCTGTTCATTGGTTGATATCGTGATGATATCAACCCACCAATCGCCGCAAGACGCGCGCAATGAGTGGTGACGAGACGTCACCATACATGCAGTTATATTAGTATAATTGAATTAAGTCAAACGAAGAGACAGTAGTTTAAAGACTTAATTTATTAATATAACATTTCTACTTTTACCCTACCTACGCTTCCTCGCTCGCCACGTGTACGTCCGTCGGGGCACCCAAATCCCTTGCGTTAAGTTACGCAAGGGTGTGCCCCGTTACACCTGGTAGCACTTTGTAGTCCTTCCAAGGACCACATCATCCAACATGTTCATGTTGGATGAAGAAGACACCTTTCACGCCACGCGTGAAGGGTTTACCCATTTGAGTGACATCGAATGGGGTGCGGTAGAACGAATGAGTTCTACCGTAGGCGAACTCGTCGTCAGCACCATGTTGGAGTCTCTAGACAGAGACCAACAACATGCTGCTATCGCCAAGTTCATTCACAATGAACTTGCTCTCGAGAGGGAGAAAGTAGCCTTGCTTCACCAGCAAGGCTCTCAACAGGCCGAGCAGTTGAGAGAACTCGGTGCTCAACAGACGGAGCTGTTGAGACAGCAGCAATTCCATGCTGCTGTGGGCGGGACGGCGCATGCGCGTCGTCCCGAAGTGATGAAAGTCGACATCTCCAAGTACAGTGGAGTCCCGGAGGACTCCCTGTTACTATGGTTTGTCGAACTCGACAGAGCCTTAAGGGCTCGTCGCGTCGAAGATGAGCAAATGAAACTCACATTTGCTCAGACCCACTTGGCAGGGCGTGCCAAAACTTGGTCCCTGGGACTCGAGAGTAGCGACCCAAATGTGTTTAGGTCGCTAGATGACCTCAAGTCCCGGCTCAGACAAACGTTTGAGCCGCCACGTGCTGAGTTCAGGGCTCGTTCAGAGCTCCTGAAACTCAAGCAGGGTAAGCGTAGTGTGCACGCTTACGCACAACATATACGACTCCTTGCGAGTAGTATAACTGCAAACCCAGTTCATGAACACACGTTGATTACGGTGTTCATGCAAGGGCTCGCAGAAGGGCCCGTCAGGAGCCACCTGTTCCGCCTTGAGCTGAATACGCTTGAAGAAGCGATATCAGCCGCGGAACAGGAATCCTTTAGCATGAGACAGGCTCATGCTAGCTCAAACTCTTACCGTCCACCGAGACGACAAGAGATCGGAGGTCCAGAACCAATGGACCTCTGTTATGTTGAGAGCGAGAGACCTCGCTCTACAAACAACAAGCGATTGCAGAGGTGCAATCGCTGTCAGAAGTTAGGGCACTACGCATACGAGTGTAGTGCTCCACGCCCAGTACCAAACAGTATTGAGCGAAATGGACGACCTTTTGCCAGAAAGGGCAATGGGCGTGGGTCCAGCGCTGTTGCGAAGCCGCAACAGCGAGACGGACCATCAAAA